GTGCCAGGCCCTGTTCAACCTCCTCCTCCAGGAGCTGTGAAGTGGTATCAGCTCTTGCTCACAACTGCTGAGGTTTGGACTTAAGCTGGGGAGATGTCAGGTAAAATCCCCAGGAAAATTTCACACGTGAGCAGAAACCAGCCCTTCCTTGCCCCATGTTTTGCTGATGATCTGTCACTGTATCCTAGCTCTACTCTAAAGGAGGTACAGACTAGAGAGCAGAGGCAAACACAGATGTTGAAGCAAGGAGCTGGAAAGCAGCACACCTTCCCCAAGCACACTCAGCAAGTCCATGCCAGGAGAAAGGAGAGGTAATGAAACTGCACCCATCTAACTGCCTTTGCCATTTGGTTGGCAAATCCAAAACCGAGGCAAATCAAAAGCCAAGCAACTTTCTTTGCAAGCCCAGCTGTTTTTTGGGCCTGAGGGACTCTTGTGGGAGGAATAGAGACTGTGTGTTAAGAAGGAGCTGAAGAGGTCAAGGAGAGGTTTGAGAGCCTGCCCTGAGCAATTTACTCACAGCTCTTTATCAATCCCTGAGCGTTCATGGTCACTAAAGCTTGCCGCAAACATAGGAAATGACTTATTGAGTTATTTCTGCCCTGGGGAGATTCAAGGAGGAGAGCTGTGCCACACAACGTGATTCCTGCAACAGTGAGGATGGCAGTTGATTCATTTGTCCCTACGCCTCTGGCCCCTCTTCCACTCCAGGGACCCCCTTCAGAAGTAACTCGGCCGTGAGTCCAGGCAGAAGCTCAGCCCTGCTGAGGAGACATCACATTTCGGCCAACAGAACTGGCCAAGCATGAAGCTTCCCAACAACAACCGAGGTCTGGAGGATGTGTCCTGCAGTGAGAGATTTATGGAGTTCAGCCTACCTAATGTAGCACAGGTTAAGAAGCGACTTGTCCATGGGTCTATAAGTGCCTCTCCAAACAGTAGAGAATGGATGCTAGATGACTTCTTAATCTAGCAGACAGAGGTAGAAAAACATCTAAGGGCTGGAAGGTGAAACACCACTAACGAAATAGAAGTGAAGTGATGAGCATGTGTGAGGAAGGAGGGTCTGTGTTTGTTCAGAGCAATGGGGACAGCAAACCAATGGAAAAGTTTATCAGGAAAGGCAGGAAAACCTCCCAGCACTTCAGACTAGCGGTATCCTGATTCAGTTTTTTGAGAACTAAGAAGCTCCATTTAAATCTCAGTTTCAAGTTTTTTGCTGAAATGAATTTGTGAAATTTTCTGCCCGAGACATGAAACCAATCAGAATTGTTCATCATCAAAATCCGTCCAGCCCTGGAGCCATCTACTTTACCAGGGAGCAAATAATATATTCCAGGGGCACACATTTAACCCTATTTGCAGTCAGCATCTTGGATCCCTTCAAGATGGGGATATGAAGAGCAGAAGGACCAGAGCATGCTGGTTATCTCTTTGGGCCATCAAAATGTGACAGCACTGCAATGGCCTTACAGGAACAGAGTATGTGGAGACAAGACTAATTAGACATTCATTAAGAACCTAAAGCAGCACAGCACTTAAGCACACATTTAACCTTCTCTCATTACAGTGTCACATCAGTGTCCCTTTTAAAGCTTCAGCTCTGATTACAGGGAAGCCGACTCACATTTGGGAGGGTCACCAGGATTTTCAGACCACGAAGTCCCAATGCCCCGTGTTTCAGGAAGCTTTCCCATCTTCAGCCCCCTGGTCTCCTCCCCCAAACCAGTGTGGGAGCCTATTCAAGGAATGCCAACTTGCATTCCTAAAACAGAGTTCACGTCTAAATATCAGGACCTACAACTGGTCTCTGCCTTCTTCCCATGTTGCCTGAGTCAGCCAAGGGAGATCTGATGCTGGCCAAAAATATTTCCCCTGTTGAATTGTCTTCTCCTAGAAAAAATCCCCTGTTCAAGCCTTCCCAGAGCAGCAGCTTGTGGTAGCTACAGCAATACATTTCCAAGAGTGTCTTGCTGATCACCAGGACAAGCTCCATTTACAGCAAAACACCAAAATATCTCCTGCTGCCTCTGCACCCTGACAGATTCTTCCCACCTCCACCACCGCCTGCTGTAACCTCTGCAACGTCTGCATTGTGCAAAGAGGGTGTCTCACTAAACCTAGGAAGCAAATTTGGAGTGGTGTCTCCTACCTCTAGATGCTGAAGAACACACGCTGTGGACAAGGCAGGGTCACTTCGTCAGAGTCATTTTGTGAAGTCCCATTGTAAACATCCAAAACATCCCTGTGTACCTGAACCAAGTTCAAACTCATTGGCCATGAGTGAAATCAGGCTGTCAATTAGGTTTCTTGAGTGTCCCAGTAGCTCTGGAGCAACGGGGTCAGTACGCCCACTTCTCCACCATGGCCAGGAGATCTGTGGCCTGGGTTGGCAGCAGAAGTTCATCTCCCAGCTCTTTGGCCACCAAAGCCAATGTCCAGCCCAAAAGATCTGTTCTTGGACTGCTCTTGAGTGACTTCAGAGAGCAAGGAGAGGACACCATCTAATCCAGCACAGAGACATATATATGCGTTCTCCATCCTTCGGTATACCAGTGCCCAGGGATGGGGAGTGAACCTTTTCAAAGGCATCTCACCCCACAGACTCTGTGAGCCAAAGCACGGCTGCTTCCAAGGCAGCATCTCATTGTAGCTTCTGTAGATTTGAACCCACCCATTTGCTTTGGAAATATCCCAGGTATAAAAGAGGCACATCAGGAAAAGTCAGGGTCCACATTTTGGGGTAGTATCTGGGTGTCTGGCAATTCCTTATGCGCCTTGAAAGTCATCAGACTAGATTAGTACATCACACGCACGCACCCTTGTTCAAAGATAAAAGTGTCAAAACAGGCCCAGAAACCACAAATTACTCGGGAAACAGCAGGGGAAGGAAAAAAAAAAAAAAACTTGAAGAAAAAAAAATGCTACAAATACCATCAGGACAACAATGACAGCAATTATCAGCATCAGCGCTGGGAAATCGGGAACCCTATCAAAATATGCCACCCACAAAACGCTGTTAAGGGATCGCTGGCTCTCTGTCCAAATTGGATCTCGCCTCCATCTTCCTGATCAAGCCTTTGCAAAAATCAAAACAGACACAGTGACAGACAGAGCAGCACACGGAGAGGCCGGGCACCCTGCAAGCATCGTTTCTATGTAGATGGCATCCCACCAGTGAAGATGATAATTCTGTATCTTCAATATGGAGCAGATGTGAGCAGCCAGCAAAAAATTATCTATGCTCTCTACAAATATTTGACACCCAAAAAGGATTTTGATTCAGCCACCTTTGAGCCTCTTTCATATTTATTTTCTGGGAACATTCAAGCATTCAAGCTGGACTAGGAGAGATCTTTACAAAAGCCAATATTAAGCTTGAATGCTTCAGGATTTGCTGAAAATCTTATTTCAAATTTCACCTTTGGTTGCAATGAAAAAGGTCACGCTGCTTGAGTTGAATGCATAAATCATCCAATCAGCAAATGCAAGGCATGACACATGACTTAACGAAGCTCGCATCACTCTGAGGAGGCAGCCAACACGGTACTCCTCACAAGCTATTCACACAGGAGAAAATGGCATTGCAAAGAAATCTGAAATCTGGAGAGTGAATATTGCCGTGTGCTCATAGCCAGGGAGGGAGGCACGGCTGAAGAACTAATTTGCAGGATTTATGGCTCGGCTGTGTGCCTTCATGTATTGATTCACAGATCAGTGAGAAACAAAATCTCCCCCAAAATACACTGACGAAAGCACTAATACCTGATCATATACTAATCTCTCAGCTAATGCCAGACTGCGGTCTGCAAGAAAATCACGCTGCACAGCTTGGACCTGTGCCTGGTAACCTCCTTCCTACTGCAAGCAAATTTAGCCTCTTTCCCTCCGCCTTGAGAAATTTTCCCCTAATTGGGGGTGGCTGCAAAAGCCAGGCAGGAGCCCCAAAGCCCAGACCCAGACGGATGCCAACTTTCTCCCGGTGGCAGAGGACATTTCAATCCAGCACCTGAAGAAGATGATACCCTGGGGTGGGGGTCAGGCGTGGGTCTGAACCTTGCCAAATTGGAGGTTCCCCTTCCTACTGCCCAGATTCCCATTTAGCATCACACCTCCGCTTTACATAACCTGCATGCTGGCAGGTGGGATGGGAGCTGAGAATAAACACATCAGAGCGGATCTGACACAGATGCTGAAATAAAGGATTTGCTTTCGGACCCCCCGATTCCCTTCTGCTTTGCCTGGCACTGTAGAACCAGCGGAGACCATGTCAGACCTCTGGAAGGAGCATTTCCCTCCCCAGACCAGTGCCCAGATCAGACCTCAAAAGCATCTCACCTTTATTCATAACGCTTTTTGTCATGCCTCTTCCACCTCCCTAGTCCCTTTCCAGCCCATATCATACTCAAGATCATCATGAAAACACTGATGAAATATCTGAGGACCGAGCCCCAGCAAAGGCACGAAGTAACCCCACAGAATCAGCACGGTGAGCTTTCTTTCTGAAAGTCTCCAGAAGGAAAATGAGGCTGAGAACAAAATGAGCGTGCCTTCTGTTGCAGTTCCTTCAAACCAGACCCGAGAATTAAGTTTTTCCCATAAATTAAAATGGTTGATAGGGCTGCTGAGTGCAGCCCGCCTCGGGAGGTAGCTTGAATCCTGCCTTTTCTAGGACATCGGTAATTACATTGGAAAACTGCTCACCCTTAGGTAAGACTCTCCCCTCAGCAGTTCTGAGGCTGCAGAAGTAAAACCAAGCAAGGCACAAGCCCTGGGAATGAATGAAATAATTTGGGGTATATTTAGGGGAAGATGCTTTGCAATTCCAGTCGCAGGCTCATAAAGAGCCACTGAGGGTTACCAGACCTGCCTATCAATTAGGAAATAAGGTTTTCATACCAGGCATCCCCAGACTCAGACACAGAGGTGATGGGGACAGGGTGAAACCCTGGAGAGAAGAGCCCAACCAGCCCTCCCTCCCAAACGCCCCCAGCCGCCCTCTACTCACCCAGGAACTCCACTCCGCTGCTGTCCTTGGGGCTGCTCATGCAGTTCTCCAAGTAAATTCCATCCTTATAGCAATCTTCCTTCTTCCTTGTAAGCCCCAGGATCTCGCTGGCCTGATCTAGGACTTCCCCTCCTGAGCAAGAGCACGGGGTCTGCATAATGCCGCATGGGTGGGAGCTGCTGCTGATGGCCAAGCACGCGTCCAGCCACTTGCAGAGCATCTGGCAAGCGGCTTTGCTAGGGTTCCTGTTGCCCACCACGAGGTACTCCACCGAGAAGTCCCTCTCCTGAGCCTTTGTGGGCTTCCACCGCACGGGCCAGCTTTCCACCCCCGGTGGTGCGGTCTGCTTCATCTGGAGGAACTGCTTGTTGGACTGGAGGAAGGCATAGCGGGTGGACCCGTCGCAGAGCTTCAACACATCGTCAAAGCTCTCCATGCCCAGGTAGGTGCGGGTGGACTCCAGGAAGGAGTCGAACTGGTAGGTGCGGATGTGGTGCTGGTGGTCACATACGCCAGTAGGTTTTAGGATCTTCATGTACAAAGTGTACCTCCGAGGGTCGGGGTTCTGGATAATCCAAGAGCAGAGAGAGGAGTTCAACGGGAAGACGGCAAAGGAGGAGAAATACCCAAAGAATTTCCCCTGGACCAAAGTGGTGCAGGGAGTTTGTGCCAGGTCCAGAGCGACCACGGTCCACACAAAGTAGAGTGGCGATACCAAAAGCAGGTTCAGGGCAGATCCAATGCTCCTCATCCTAGGTCTCTGGTCCTCTGGAACTCAAAGTAAATGTCAAGCAGGCGCCAGATCCTGGACATAACAGGGACCAGCTTAGAGGAAAAGTGAGAGTTTAAGAGGCTCTGGATCCGAAATCAAGCCAATCCTCCCATGTCTGGATTTGAGCTCCCTCCTGTGGCCATAAACAACACCTGGAAAAAAAGGGAAGGGAAGCAGGAGGGGAGAGAAAGAGATTTGGGATTTGCGTTTTTTCGGGTGGTTTGGTTTGGTGGTTTTTTTTTTATTATTAACCCTTTGCAAGGCTGAGAATCCACATAGCATCCCCAGTCCCGGCACATCTCATTGGGGGAAGATGCAGCCCCACATCACCATCCTCACGCTAGGTTTGGGGCTGTCCCCATCTCCGGGATGTCCTAACCCCCAGGAGGGGCCCAGCTGTAACTCATAGTGGGGGACAACATAGCTGTGACCCCGCTTTCCCAATGCCCTCTGCCCATGCAGTGCCCCTCTGCTGAGCTGAGCAGAGCCTTTGCAGTGATTTCTAACCATCTCCCCAAAGCAAACACCACTGATCTCTGTTTTAGGGAGTTTCCACCCCTCTCCATGCCAACGGAGCCAGGACACTGGTTCAATGCAGACTTCAGGCTGCACCTGGGGAGGGTAGGCTGGAGGCAATCATGGACAGCTGCCTTCTCTTT